GTTTGCAATAACAGAAAAGATGAGAGAGTCCAACGCTGCTCCAGACGTCTGTTCGTAGAAGTGGTTATTGTAGGAAAAATATGTGGTCGTTAGGCAGTGTTCAATTAAAGGGATGATGTTATTTGAGACTTCATGTGAGGTTTTGATTATATCTAAAGTTTCTTTTATTGAAACGTTTGTAAAGAGTGACTCTACATTGAAAGTCACCAATCAGCGTTCCATGTCTTGATGAAGTGAATAGCAAAGTTCACGAAACGTTGGTATTAGCAATGGACAAAAATACGGCGATAACCCGCAAATCTTCTATAGAATCTTTAAAGAAAATAGTCATGAAAACCTAAAAAAAAATTTTACTAAAATTTTGGTAGTCAAATGCAGTGAGTTTGCTGTAATGTTGTCGATAATTGTTGTCGATAATTAATTTTGAAAAACTCGGGACAAGATGATCGAGACAGCATTGTTTGTCAACTTGAGAACTCACATAAATTCGAATTCTATTACAATAGCAAATCGATAGGCAACGACAATTTGCTCCTAAAAAAGATGATAGCAACTTTATTATAACTAGTGTTTTTTTGTCAATTTATCATTTGTAATTAGTAGCGAAAGTGTTCTTTCCGTACACCTTTTAAGAATGGTTTCGTCAATATAATGGTTTCGTTAATATAAAAATTGATGTATATAATTGTAAAACACAAATTAACATAGCTGAAAATAACATGATATAAAAATTCTTTCGTCAATTAGCGATTTGTTATTTATGTACAATTTCGTAGGTACAACGTTCAGTGGTATAGAGCTCCGTTACGTATACAAAGAATGATACTGTTTTTATTACAAAGAGAAGCTAAAGAGTTTACTTTGAATGTCAGTGGAGTATTTAATGCATCTATGGAGTGTTTCGCTATGGTAATATAATATCAACAACAATCTATATACGATATTATAAATGAATATTATAAAAAAAGATGTATTTAATTGCAGTTAGTAAAGACTTCGGTATCTTATTTTACTGTCATATATTCCATGCGGTGACAAAATAAATATGAATTTAATAATAGAATAATAAAAACATAGCTAATGGGAAAACGAGAGCACTCTTATTTAAAAAAATAATTAAAATTATTTTTTGAACTTGTAATTTAGCTAGAGATTTTGTTAAGAAATGTAGAGAATTAAAATTGTTCGAATAAAGATGTTAGTACACCATATTGTCGCAATGTGTTCAAACTAAAATATTGTTTATATTATATTTTGAACAATCACATAGTTTCAATTGTTCTATATTGCTTTTAACTAATTTGATACATGCAATTTGCTATTGATGCGTTAAACATTTCTTTTAAATAATATAATAATTAAAATATTTAGATGTTCGAAACTTTCGTCAGTTGATAACACAAGGAATGTAAAATGACAGGCGTATAATAATTAATAAACAATATTTTTAACTATATAGTTAATACATCAAATAAATAAAATAATGTAAAAAATATTAATAAAGCTGATCGCTAATTTGAAATTTGAAAGTATGTATCTGTCGTGAATTTTTGATGTAATTATTTTTTAATTATAAGCTTTACTAGATAGAATCAACATTAAAAAGAGTTAAAATTACGAGATATTCTTGTCGAAGTCCATGTGTGACTTATGAATGTGCGTAGAATGAAGTTAAAAACTGAAAAGGAGGAAATGAGCCTATGTAACTTTTTGAAACTCTTCTATAACTTAATTTCATAAGAAAGACACATCCGCTGTATTATCTTCAGCGGAAAATCGATCGCCTATGAGTTATATTATAAAAAATAATGGTACGCAGATCATTCAGAAAGCTGAATCCAGTTCTGACCTCATAGCGGACTGCTATTTGGGCAATATAGTCAATTAGAAACTATGAGTTACAATTTATGTAAAAGAAAAATATCATAAAATATTTCATCAAATAAAATTAAAGTTGTCAATTAAGGTGCAACAAATTAACTATTGTACAATCGAAAGATTCGTATTTCAGATTTTATTGACGAAGGAAGCTACTAAAAAAGCATAATTGCTTGTGCCATTTGCAGCTGTTTTTATTCCATATCTGTTCATATTGAATTCTCTTGGATTAAATATGACTTGGATTACAATAATTATGTATTTGCTACTATGCAAGGAACTTTCTTACGAAAAACAATAAAAAAAAGGTTCAATTTACAAATTTTTATATCCAAAGAAATATTAAATATAATTAGTTTTGTATAATTAACGTACAATATTGTAAATTATATGAAAATCTTTATACTTTTCTCTCAAACTATCGATTCTTATCTTCATAATTTATGTAGGTAGAGTTGAATGATGATTCCTTTGTACATCCAGGAAACGATACTCTTCCTGTTGATAAAAGGCGCTAAAAATTTCGATCTGAATGTCGGCGGACTATTTATTCCATCATTAGAGTGCTTCGCCAAGGTAAAATCATGCAGTGTTTTTTTAAATATATTATATTAATATACAATATATTAAAAGTAAAAGCAATAATATTTGCAAACTTCGGTATCTTATTTTACTGTCATATTATCTATATATTGGCAATAAAAATACGAATCAAATAAGAGCTGAGAAAATATATATTCGATAAAGATAACAGCATTTCTTACATGTGAAAAAAAATTCTATTTTTAAATACGTATATATTTAATCTTATATTGATGGTACCGGGTTCAAACGTCTGTAACCGCGCGTATAAATAAAATTGTACATATTGTACAAATATAAACAGATTTAATTATTCTATTGTAGAATCTATTATAATAATATTTAATAAATAATGTTAGTAATATGATAACAATCTTTTGCAAAGTATAAAGCAATATATCAGAAAATGTTATTGATCTAATTATCATGTTTTAAATTGACATGAGATGTATTAATTACGATCGATGCCGAAAAGTATGGAGGATATTCATCTCAAAGAACAAACGTACCATTGTGAGAGTTTGTACAAAAAATGAAGTTATTGCACTGCAAAAAACGGAGGATACATGCTTGCGTGACTACTGTCCTTTGATAAATGTCTTTCTTTTTTTTTTGCATTAAAAGAAGATATTCATGTGAAATTTTCTTGATGTTAAAATAATGCCTTAATAGTTCTTGCAAAAAGCACTACTAAAATATGAATGAACTTGTGATCTCACAGTGGATATACAGCCTTGTATTACACAAATTATGGCATTTATACTAAAAATTTACACTATAAGAAAAAATATCAAGATAATCGATGGAAAAAAAGAAGGGATAATCGCACTCGTCGACTGCTTTGTTCAGTCGCATCTTGGACGTTGCAGAAAATGGTTCATCTAGGGATTCAGTACTTTAGCTTCAATAGAATTCTGTTGCTTGTTATTGGTTTGTGGCCATATGAACAATCTAAATTTACACGATTTCAATTTATTTTCTTATCTACTATTCTGACATCGGGTGTTATATTTCAGGTAAGAAAAGAGTATAACAATATTGTGTGATAAAGTACTTTTGCAAATCTTCATTGTCAAGTAATTTTTCTTATTATTACGTAATGTAAGTGGTATAAGAATTTATGATCGTTTATAAGCATGTGATTAAAAATACAATTACTACTGATAGTTGACAACGCTAATGACATCAAAATATACTTCAAATCTCGTCAGCAAGATCCTGTCTTCTACATTTTTTTCTATTATGTGCATGATAAAATATAACACATTCTGTTTTAAAATGGAAGCTGTAAGTTGACAAGTTACACAATATGCGTTTAAGCATAATTATCAGTGTCAAATCAATGATATGCCTTTATTATATATTAAAAAATTTTTATATATTATTATATACAAAGACAATATATGAAAATATTGGAACAGATAAAGGATTTATTAATGCAACTTGAGCATATATGTAATCAAGTAAAAGATAAAAACGAAGTTGCTATCATAGAAGAATGTAATTACAAAGCAAGACGTCACACAATTATGCTCACAAGTAAAATAATATTCTTAGATCTATGCTTACAATTGTTATGTAACTTCCCGTATAGCACAGAAATTTAGCAATATCGCTGCAATATTTCAACAATGCATATTACAATACAATGTTGTAGAGATATTACAAAGACTTCCTTTTGCAATATTACTTCAATAATATTGCAGCAGTATTTTGAAAATATTTCCGGAATACAAATTAACACAAAAGTTATCCTGTCCATGTTCAATAATCAGTAAGAACCAAAAACAGAATGACTCTTGTGTCGATTTGTGTCTCTGCTAGAAATCTCGCTTTGAGTGTTAAGACTTGTATTCGCGTATATATTGATTTATATATAATCTAATAAAGTAAGGACTTGGACATAACAAAAAAATAGAATTTAATGACCACGTTTACACGGCACACTTAATCGGGTTTATAACATCTGTAGTTATGAAACTGATCAATCATAACTATATTTCTCTGAAAAATGGAATAACTGGTTAATTTCTAATTACGAATACGTTATTAAACTCAATTAATGTTCATTTTTATCCATATAGATTAATTTTAATCTCGGTTCAACTCATCTTTGTCTTTTTCTAGTTCTAAAGATTAGAAAAAGACGAAGAGTAAGTTGAACTGAGATTAAAGTTAATCTATATTAGTAGAAACGGATATAAAAGGTGTAAATGTAGTCAATGTCTAGGCATAATTTATAGGAATTATGCCTATAATTTATAAACATAAAATAAGAAGTAAAAATATATGAATCGTATTCCGATATGCACTGCCAGTACTGAAATTCTATAGTTCACGTAACGTATACTGTAGATTATCAGTACTGGCAGTGTATATTATAACACGCCTATAAAATATAAAGACATAATTAATTATAAACTCATATTCTATTTGTATTCATTGCATGTTATATTTAACTTCTATTTCTAATTTTTTTTTATATTTAAATTTATACAGTATAAAATCTTATAATAAATATTACAGAAACATACGTAACATTACAGTAACATTGCTGCATTATTACAATGTTTCTGCAATATTGTTATAAATATTCTTCCTTGTGTGCAAAACCTAATATTGCGTATATATGATGTTAATATTGCTACAACATTACTTATCAATATTTTTTAAATGGACATTTTTACGTTGCTATAACGTTGTTGAAATATGCAGCAATATTTCGCAATATTTTTTGCAATGTTGCAATCATGCAATAAAATATTTTTACAATGTTGCTGCAATGTTTCAGTGATGTACAGATTGTGATTCACATTTCTACATTTTTATGTATGATATGTCCCACTGATTCTACTAAAATATTTGTCGTATATGTATTATATATGCGTTTACAATGATTAATAACATATTAGTATGCAATTTGTACAATAATACATTGTAAAAATTGCATAAATAATAGAGTAATTCGATATAGAAATTAAATATATTATTAAAATAATATACAACTTTATAATGTGTGTGTGTGTGTGTGTGTGTGTGTGTGTGTGTGTGTGTGTGTGTGCACATGCGCGCGCTAAATAGTATAACTTTTGATAAGCTTATATTGCAGGATTTTTAATAAAAACGTTTTCTAATATTTTTTTAGTACTTGCCGTTATTATCGGATTTGTTTGCATTATCGGCCATTTATTGAATCTTTTTGTTTTACCAAAAAATATATCTCGTCTACCAATTACAATGGAATATTTTATCGATCAAGAAAAATACTTTTATTTAATTTTGTTGCACATCTACGCAATTATATGCATCGGAGCAGTTGCGATATTAGCAACAGGAACAATGTTTCTTACATATTTTCAGCATGTCTGTGGAATGTTTAGAATTGCTAGGTACGAATGAAAATGTAGGAACACTCTAAATTTTTGAAAGTGAAATTTCACTCCAAGAAAAGTGAGAACTCCTTCAAGGAGTGAATTTCCTAAAAGGTCAGCTTTAATATTATCTCGCTTCGTAAGGCAGAGCGACGCTTTTCTTTACCATATTTATTCGTTTTGTACAAAAATACATCAAATAAATCTGGTTTCGTCAAGATTGGATGTATGGGGGCTAATTTCACATGTACTTTCAGTCTCTTCTTTCGGAGAGTGAAATTCTTCACTCTTTACAGAGATTGAAATTTGACTCTCGCTGGGAAATTTTTCATTGTCGAAGAGTGATTCTTCATTTTGTAAGAGTGAAAATTTCACTCCTGCCGGATTGACGCAACTATTACTCTTCGGGAATGAAATTTCACTCCCAAGAATTTAAAATGAATAACTATAACAATTTAAACTGTAATCAAAATTTATCTTTTAACAACATAATATATTAAAGTTTGTTAATTATGCAGTATAAAGGAGAGATAGAGCATTGACCTTGATTATATTGCCAATGTCATGATCTTGAGAGACCTTCAGAAGATTTTAGGCGCCGTTCATTATTCGTTAAAAAGTTATTAACAATTAAAATTGGTAATTATTTCATTACTTTGCGTGAAAAAGGAGGTTCCTATGGGGAGGTATGAACGAACCGCTTAAGAGAGTACAACTTTTCACTATACTGCGTAATTAACAAAGTTTATAAAATAATGTATTTTTTGCTGAAAAATCGAGTCATTCAATATATTGTTGTATAATTAGAACACATATATTTATAGCTATCGTATCGAGCATGCAATGAACATCAATATTCGACAAAATATTACGCAGAAAACTAAGATTCTGATGAGCGAAGGCATAATTTGTGCTGTCGATATTCACCGACAAGCTATGAAGTTGGTACACATCTACAAAATAAATAGAATAGAGCGGGGCTGGTTGCGCATAGCGGCAAGTTGGGCACATTCAAATATCTACAAAAAATGTTTGGTTAAAAATGGACAAATCAGAAAATTCTAATTAATATAATCAAAATTTTCTGGTGACCCATTTTCAGTCACACATTTTTTCAGTGTAAATAAAGTATATATAAATATGTCTATGCTTGCGTAAAATACCATATAGAGATTACTGTGCCTAATTGTACAATAATCCGATTATCAACAGCTAAACAGATGCGGTTTTTCGTTTTCGTATATGAAAAGTAAAATTAGGTAAATATTCTTTTTAGTCCACGTAGTAATTAAAGCCATTTATAACAATTAAATGTGTTTTTTAGATGTATGTAATTAATGTATTTTTTAACTTTACTATTGCTATTTTAAGTTGCTATTTTATCTACAGTTTTTCAGTCATAATAAATGTTTCATCAACACCGATATAGAATCTGCTGAGCCCAGTATTCCGTAATTCAGCTTAAATGAAATTTGTCTTTATTGATCCTTTTTACTCTGTTAATGATTAAACATATATTTTACGTTCAATTATTATTATAAAAAGTAAAGTATAAAAATATTATAATTTTTTTAATTTTATTAATTTTAAAGCCTTTAAAAAGAGAGAATATATATATTACAAATTATTATACCTTTGAGATGAAAATAATAAAATTTCGATTAATATACATAATCGTTTTATGTTTTTAATAATATATAACCTCATTAAACATTATCTTCATCTCAACTTATTCTTCGAAGATGCACAATATGCCACATAGATGAGGCATATATTGATCTACTTTGCATCCTTGTAATTAACGTAATTTTTTTCATATTTACAAAATATTATATAATATATTAAGGATTTGAAAGTACTTAATTACTGAGCCAGATAAACATGCATTTTAAAGTATTTTTTTTCGTTAGTCGTAATTGTGTGAAGATTTATAAAACTTAAAATAAAAGAGTCATAACTAGCCCCGTTCTCCACTAATATGTTTATTATAATTATATAAATAATATATTTCTGTTTTTGAAGATTGACCAAACATTTGGTGTCTATAGTCGAGGTAATGATGTTTTGTTTAACAGTATCTGCCGTAGCTTGCTTAACTCTAAATTTGTTTCAAGTAAGTTTCTGTCTCGTATTGTAATATATGAAAATGCATGTAAATGCTGATTCGAAATTATATGTATTAACAATATTGTTTAATAAGTAGATAGTCAGAATAATATCAGAGTTATAATTTTCTAATAACAATTTTTATTATATAAATAATATAAAAAATAACGAATGTAATATATAATAAAATAAAAATAATAAACAGAGGAGATGCATTGCATTCAGAAAATTCAATAATATTGAAGATACATAATATTATAAACATAAATTTTCTAATACTTTTAAAACTTACCAAACAAAAATGTTGATCTATATATTATTTGTATGATTTTTATATTTATATTCTAAGAAATATATACTTTTTTTTCTCTTTGTGATTAATATATACTGCAAAATATTTTTCTAATTTTATATAAACTTATCATTACTTTTACTATTAATAGTAAAAAATGAATTTATATGCAAGATGTTTTATTTTAAGTGATGTGATCGATTATCTCGCAAATCGATGATTTTATTCAAAAATTTTTCGAACAAAAGTTACATGGCTTGAAGAGGGACACATGATGGAAATATACACTTTGAGTGATCTTGTCAGAATCAGATCATTAATGTTTTTTTATATTATAAATAAAAACCCCTATTTTTTATTACATATTCTTGTAGCTTATCTCGAGAGCTTTCCAAAACATTATAATAAAGTTACGTTTCATTGAGTACTTTCCGAGTTATGAAGCTTGAAAGTTACAGTACCGCCGGCGTTATCCATGTACTGATGAGCGCGTAAGCGCATTCTTAGGCGCGCGCGTTTCTCCGCGATCTATCCACATTGCTTGACATACGCTTACGCGCACAAAATTGAGTTCAATCAATTCATTCCCAATTGAACGATTCAACTTTCCTCCTTTTTTCATATATCTTCTTCTTATAATTTTTTTATATAGTGGGTTTTTTCAAAATGGCCGCTTACAGTTCAAAAGAAATCGTTAATATTATTCTTGTGCTAAAACTGGAAGAAATTATTGTAGAGCAGAAAAATTGTATCGTAATATATATCCGTTTAGACGACATCCAAATACAATGAAGATTAGAAGAATTTTATTACAAGAGCGTAGAAAAATCCGTAAGAAAAACTGCAAGCAAATAAATGCTGCAGATGACGTTAATGATCCGCATGTTAGCAGTGCTAGCAATGATAAATTTGAATCCTCATATTTCGACTAGAGAACTGCAACGTAATTTAGGAATTCTTTATGTTTCACTGTGTAGAGGATTTTACAAAGACACTATAAATTCCATCCCTACCACATCACTTTAATCTAAGATGAAAGTAAAAATGATATAGAGCTAAGAAGACAATTTTGTTGTTGGGCATTACAAATGATAAGAGAAGATCCAACTTTTTTTCAGTATATTTTTTTCAGTGACAAAGCCTCGTTTCATAACAATGGACAACTCAACAAACATAACTGTCATTGGTCCAAATACAATCCTCACTGGATCCAGCGTGTTGATAATCAACATCATTAGAGTTTAAATATTAGGTGTGGAATTGTAAATGAATATTTGATTGGTCCATACCTTTTTAATAATCGCTTAAATGGGGAAACTTACCTTTCTTTTTTGCAGAATAAATTGCCTGAGCTTTTAGAAGAGATTGATCTTGCTACTCGACAAAAAATGTGGTGGCAGCAAGATAGTGTGCCACCCACTCCATTCTCATCGTATTGTGACGGAATACTTCAATAATATCTTTCATGAAAGATGGATAGAGAGGTATGAATATTGTTGATGACTTCGTCACGGTCTCCTAATTCTGAATTTTATGTAATTTTTTATGTGGGGCTACATAAAAAATATTGTTTACAAAACTCCACCGACATCTGCAGAAGACATGAAGGATCGAATAACTAATGTTTGTCGTAGTATTTCTCAAAATATTTTAATTTTAATAGTAGAACATTTTGAGAAACGGTTGAGGCTATGTCTGAAAGAAAATGAAGCTTCATTTGAACATCTTATCAACGGATAAAGACATATTTGAATTGCCTTAGTTGGCCGGATCAGTCCCCATCTTGCCTTAATCGGCCGGATTAGTGATCGATCTTGCCTTATAACTTAACAAGTACTTAAGTAAAAAGTAACTTTATTATAGTGTTTTGCAAAGCTCTCGAGATAAGCTACAAGAAAAGTACGATTTTTATTAAAAAAACATTAATAATCTTGACCTAATTTTGACAAGGTCACTTAAGAATAAGTCCACATATCCATCATGTATTTCCATACAACTTTCGTTCGAAAAATTTTTCAATAAAATCATCGATTAGCGAGATAATCGAC